TGATTGTAAATCGTTATATATAGCTGGACCTCTTTCTATACCCTGAACTACGATTTGAGAAATAGTTAAAAACTCACAATTTTGAAGTCTCATAATTGTTGGCGTTTGTGCAGGACAGTTGTAATGTTGTTGCACATTTGTGAATGTTATACACAAGACCAGATTTTGAATTTGGAGATTTTACAGAAGTTCCATTATTTTGTATAATGGTTGTGAATGTAGTTGCAGATGGCCTTTGCTGATACACAAATTTATATATATGATGTAATGATGATACTCTATCCCTCTTGGTATATCGGTGCATGTCTCCTTGTTGCATTGTTGTCAAATCTTTCTGTCGAATATTTGAAGAGAATGTTACTTACTTTTTTCCTTGCTTGTTGATCAAATATCTTTCATTTCTCATTACACACAAATATAATGTTGCATATTAATAAATGTTTCTATCAATTTTATTCTGGGTTTGTAGGATGCTCATGAGTTCTTAAATTTTTTGCTTAATGAACTTGTTGACATACTGGAGAAAGAAGCCCAAGCAGCAAAAAGTGATCAAGAAACTTCTTCACCTCCTGAAAAGATGGTAAATGGTCCAAAGAATGCTCAGGCCAATGGTTCTCATAAAGATCCCTTAGTTACCTGGGTGCACAAAAATTTTCAGGTGATTTTGCTCTGCCAAATCATTTAATCATAGCAGTTTCCGTGTGGTAACTCATATGTACGTGTGATAATCCCAACTATATGCCTTTCTATTGCATGCAGTTTTTGTGCTTTTGATAGTTTTGTGGTTGTATTTTTGAATTGATTCCTCAGTTATACAAGATATGTTTTGGCTGAGATTAGTGGTAGTCTTTGAATTCATCAACTTCTCCTTTTATAAATATAATAATAAGAGAAGGCAAAACCCCCAATGTTGTGGCCATGATTGACTGATTCTTAACTCGTTACCTTTGCATTTTACATTGTCATACAGTATCACAAATATAACTCTCTTTGGTTTTATTATTAAGAATCTCATAATTTTCAATTGCTGTTGAGTCAGGGAATACTCACCAATGAAACGAGGTGCTTACGGTGTGAGACAGTGACTGCAAGAGATGAAACATTTTTTGACTTAAGCCTGGATATTGAACAGAACAGTTCAATTACAAGCTGTTTGAAAAACTTCAGTTCGACAGAGACATTGAATGCTGAGGACAAATTCTTTTGCGACAAGTGCTGCAGGTAGTTGTCTATCATTTACTTGCCTTTGTTAATATCTGATTTTCTGTTTTCTGTTTTCACATATAAACTGTGGATACCATCACCTGATACCATCGGTGCTTATCCGGGTTCTAGCTTTACTAACATAAAGCTCTATTCATCTAATATATTGTCCCAAGAGTATTTTCGAAGTTCTGGGAGTTAACCATAGAGAAATCAGAAATGAGCAGCACATGGCTTTAGGCTGTTGGTGCTGCTGCAATCAGTCACTAGTACCCATCTGCTTAAAGATTGACTTAATTGAGCAAAGTACGAAATTTTATTATGCAAAAGAGGAATTGAGATCTATCCTCCATTCCCAAAAGA